CAACTAAAAAAGAAAGCTTCAGGCCAATATCCATTGAACATCAATGCAAAAATCTTCAATAAAATACTGACAAACTAAATGTAACAGCACATCAAAAAGCTTATCCATCACGATCAAGTTGGCTTCATCCCAGGGATGCAAGGCTGGTTCAACATAGGCAAATCTATAAATGTAATCCATCACATAAATAGAACCAAAGACAAAAGCCACATGATTATCTCAAGAGATGCAAAGAAGGCCTTCGACATAATTCCCTATCACCTGATCACAAATTTAATCTCCAATTCAGCTACCTATAGACAGAAAACACTCAAGATTTTGTGGTCACTAGGAACAATTTCTCCTCCATGACATTGAACTCTAACAATTACCCTCAGTGACCAAAATCTCCTATCCTTTCACCTCTTGTATTCCCGCTCTCCTACCTACCTTCTGTTGACTCTCATTTTTATCTCTCAGTCTCAACTCCTCCTTGTTCTTAGAAGCTATGAATCCCCTTATGATTTCTTTATCCCCCCACTTAGCATTGATTCCAAGATTAGCCATACTGTCCTTGGAAATTCTGATGCTCTCAAGCCCTTGACACTTAGCCATATTTATAGCTCCAACCTCTGGTGATGCTTATCCACAACTACTATTGCCCTCATATTGTCAATAATGAACTTGTGCTAACCACTATAAAATGGGACCTTTTTCTTCCACCTGCAACTATTTTATTTATCATAATTTAACTATTTGTCACATTCCTTATGTTATATTAAGATGTATATTCCATTATTCTCAATTATTGAACACCTACCTCCCTCACCCTCTGAAAAGGACCTCACTGATTACATCACCAAAACAACATAGGTTATCTAAATAAAATTATTTCATATCCTATATGCCTCAATATTTGTCTTTCAGGGATCTGCAAACTATGGCCAATAACCCACATCCAGCTAATGTCTGCTTTTGTAAATGAATGTTTTACTGGAATACTATTCATCTATATATTGTCTATGGCTCCTTTTGTGCTACAACAGTTGAGTAGTTGTGAAAGACATTATATTACCCACAAATTCTAAACATTTAATATCTTCCCCTTTACAGAAAAAGCTTTCTAATCCGTGATCTATTTCATCATCCATTCTTTCTTCCTTTTAATAAAAAAAGAGGTATGTCTGTTCTTCTTTAATATAAACTAGCTGTTTATGCCTTGGATCCCCTTGATCATCTGCTCCTGAACAGTAGAATATTATCACATCTATACATTTTTGTAGCTCCTGTATTCCCACTGGATCCTTCAGTCTCCTCTTAATCAACCATCTGATTTTTCTTCTTCCCTTTGCCATCAAAGTTCTGGTGGTAGAAGGTGGCAGAAGCTTTGACTATTATAATATATAATAATATATAACATTAATATAATATGTAACAATATAACATAATGTATATTAATATGGAATATATCATGTAATATATTAACATGTAATATGATATACAACAAATAATTATAATTATATATATTATATATTCAATGTTTCTATTGCCTGGCCCCATTTCCCTTATTCCATGGAATCTAACTTTTACCTGCTACCAAAACTGTTCTTTCAATACTCACAATAATTAAAATACTTACTCTCTCAATATCTTTTATTAATTAAATATAAAGCCTTGCTTTGTCCTGCATTCTTCTCCATTATCTCTTCTTTTAAAAAGTTATTGCAATTTTATTATCTTTTTAAATAGCATGTTCGTTATAAAACGTTAGAAAATTCAACTAAGCAGAAAAGATAAATTAAAGTCACCCATAATTTCACTACTTTGAGTTAAACAATATAAATATTTGGATGGCATTAGGAGAAATACCTAACGTTGATGATGGGGGGATGGATGCAGCAAACCACCATGCACATGTATACCTGTGCAACAAACCTGCACATTTTGTACATGTACCCCAGAACTTAAAGTATAATAAAAAATAAATATTTCACTATGACTAAACGTACATGTATTTATTAATAGTAATAAAAATCATATTATGCATTTACTTTTTTATTTACTAATTTATCATGACAATCTTTCTCTAAAAAATATTTCTATAACCTTTCCTTTTTGAATCTCTATCCTTGTGTCTAAATTCCCTGAATCACTTCCTACTTCACTAATTATCTCTCCTTTAGCTTTTCTGTCATACCTCACTCCCAAAATCTGTGTTCTTTCAGGATCTGTTCTTAAATTTCTTCTGATCTCTGTATTCTCTTCTACAGCCATCTCATTGCTTCAATTATCACCTTCATAACTGCCAAATCAGTATCTCTACCCATAATTTGTATTACAAATTATATTTTCAAATTTCTACTATCTGTTGGTAATTTTTCTCCAAATTCACTTGTCTAAAGCTGAACTCATTGTCTGCTCATCATAATGAGTATTTTCTGTGATTACCACCTCTGCCAGAGACACAGTCAACTAAATTCACTTTTTTTTAATTTTTATTATACTTTAAGTTCTGGGGTACATGTGCAGAGCATGCAGGTTTGTTACATAAGTATACACGTGCCATGGTGGCTTGCTGTATCAATCCCCCATCATCTACATTAGGTATTTCTCCTAATGTTATCCCTCCCTAATCTCCCAACCCATGTTATCCCTCCCCTAACCCCCCGCCCCACTCCCCGAAAAGTCCTGGTGTGTGACGTTTCCCTCCCTGTGTCCATGTGTTCTCACTGTTCAACACCTACTTATATGTGAGAACATGTGGTGTTTGGTTTTCCGTTCCTGTGTCAGTTTGCTGAGAATGATGGTTTCTAGTTTCATCCATGTCCCTGCAAAGGACAAGAACTCATCTGTTTTTATGGCTGCATAGTATTCTGTGGTGTATATGTGCCACATTTTCTTTATCCATCTATCATTGATGGGCATCTGGGTTGGTTCCAAGTCTTTGCTATCGTAAACAGTGTCACAATAAACATAAATGTGCATGTGTCCTTACAATAGAATGATTTATAATACTTTGGGTATATACCCAGTAATGGAATTGCTGGGTCAAATGGTATTTCTATTTCTAGATCCTTGAGGAATCATCACATTGTCTTCCACAATGGTTGAACTAACTTACACTCCCACCAACAGTGTAAAAGCATTCCTATTTCTCCACATCCTCTTCAGCATCCCAAATTCACTTTTAAGTCATCCCTGCCTTTTCCTACTTGCTTGCCTATACACACATATATGCACACATGCACACTCAGTGTCAGCATTTAGTTGTGTACATAACAAAATAATGGAAAATTTTGTGGTTCTATTTCAAAATAATTATGGGAACCTATGATTTAGCATTATACAAGCCAAAAAATTTGGAATTTAGGGAATGAAGAAGGGTCCATCTTCCTTCATTGGCTGAAAACTTAAATGAAAATGTTTTACACTTTAGGAACAAATATTTGCTATGATAATAAAGCACTAAGAAAATGCTACATATAATAAAACCCCTATATTTCAACCAGTTCATTCAATTTAATTTCTTATTCTTTTTACTACTTATAATAAGATAAAGAAATAAAAAGTGATTCTATTTTTATTTCTCTAGTTTTAAGATACTGTGATAGAAAAAGTCATTGTGCAAATTTTCAATTTTAAGCCAAGCATTTATTAGTTTGACATTATCCTAAATATGCAAAACTAATAATACTTTCACATTTCTGCTTTAATTATAAATTATGATTTTTAAAAATTCCTATTTTATCTGACTTGTTTTCACAGAGCTGATTTTCAAAAGAAAGAGTCACATTACATTTAATCACAGATGAACAAGCTCTGGGTAAACTCACAGTTTTTTATTAGGTACTTCAAAGCACATATGTAATTAGAGGTAAACTGGCCTTATGTATAGTGAAATTTAAACTGTGTATTAGATCTCACTAGAAGGGAACACACCAAGAAGCTATCAAATCTTCAGCTCTTCAGAACAGTCACACCTTTTCCCACCTACTCCCCTAACACCCTAAGATATCTAACATTACTATTGTTAAGGCAAACTAAATGTGGCCTGAGAAGGACTCTCTACTCCCATACCTATGTGTCCTAGTGAACCAACTGCAACCTAACTTAATAGGTAAACAAGACTGAATACCTAACTTTGTAGTATGCACCTGTAATGATAGCTGAGTCTTGGCCAATCGCAGCAGCCATACTTCAACCACTCATACTCTGCTGAGTGTTCAAACTGTGTTCAAATAAGGCAAATGCCAAACTGTAACCAATCCAGTTGTTTCTGTACCTCACTTCGAATTTCTGTATGTCATTTCCCTTTTTTGTCTACAAATTTATTCTGACCAAAAGGCATCCCTGGAGTCTCTCTGAATTTACTGTGATTTTATGGGCTGCCAAATTCGCAAATCATTCGTTGCTCAATCACAGTCCTTTAAATTTGGCTACAGTTTTTCTTTGAACAGAAGGTGTCAGAAGTGGGGGTCCAAAGCAGACCTTTGAACAACCCCCAGGAGTGCTGAGTGAACAGGCAAGGTACCTACAAGGACTCACTTGTGTCCTTTGGTCCCTCAGACAGAAATGGAACTGGGTCCAGGATGAGATTTGATCCAGTAATTAACAGCCTTGTTTTCACAGAGTTTAATCCAGTTAGAAGCCTCTTACATCCGACTGGGTCAGAAAAAACCTGGTAGTAAATGGTAATATTGTAGGGGTTGTAAAATTTGGCTTTTCAAAATCCACAGCGATTTTTGAGTTCGACCCCATTGTTTAATTTTTCTTGCATGCTTATGCGGAAAAAAATTATTTTAAAAATCAACTTAGGAGTCATGAGTTCTTTGCAAGGACGTTTTTAAGCAGAGACAACAACCACTTGACAGAGATAATAAATACAGTTCCTTCTACAATATTCATTGAATGACAATTAACTATCAGGTATATTAGATCAAACAGCACAGTAACCTCGTGATAACAGGATTCCATGACCTTAAAATGGGGAAAATAAATGCAACAGCCACTTTTCAGCTTACCTTTTTTTTCGCCTGCAATACTATTATTTCATATAATCGTGGGATAAATGAGCAATAATTTTGTTGTTGATCTCTCTTTATGTTAACATTTTCATAATATGATGTCTTTTTCCTTTAGAAAATTCAAACAGAAATTAAGAGTTCTCAATTTTAAATCTAAATGTTTATGGAAGCAAAGAAATTCTTTCTACAGCAGGATATCCTGCTTTTAAAGTATGGGATAATAAGATCATCTAGGTGTATTAAACCAATAAATTCAAAATTTTGTAAAATGTATTTGTTTTGTTGGTTAGTTATGCTTTTTTCCAATTGAGAGCATTATTATAAACCTATTTGAATAATTATTACAAAAAGAAAAGATCTGGTATTTACATCATGAATTGAATAAAAAGCTAACTCTAAAAAAAAGTTCCCTTTCTGTTATACACATCCACAGGAATTAAAATCAATTTTTAAAAGTTTCCTGTGTATTCTATGTACCATTAAATTCCAAATCCCTTGGTATTTCAACTATTACTAAAATAAGAGGAAAATAGCCCTGTGCTATCTGTATCAGAAAACAGCATAAAGATCTTTGAAAACAAAAGGGAAACTTCTTTTCATTGAAATTCAGGTAACCTCAAGAAAGAATCAAAAACTAAGTAAGCAGTGAATAAGAGCCCAATCTTGGGAGTTAGACAGCCCAATAAGATCCCAGCATTCCTACCTACTACTTATATAATCTTATGCAAATCACCTAACTTCTCTAAGCTTCAGATTCATCCCCTGATGAAATTGGTGATTGGAATCTGGTCATTGGAAATAGTGATAACCAATTCTCAAGGTTGCAATGATTAAAGTAGATAATATATGTAAAATAAGGTGGTTAATGCCAATAGGGCTTTTAATAAACACACAATAACTGTGAGCTAGTATTATTACAAGAATCACATTTAAACCAGATATACAGACTACACCACTATTTTTTCTATTTCACAAAGAGGATTTTTTTAAAAAATCTGATATGCAACATTTCCAACAAACTATACAGAACATATGGAGATTAAAAAATATATAACACACCCACAGTCAATATCATACTGAATGGGCAAAAACTAGAGGCATTCCCTTTGAAATCTGGCACTAGGTAAGGATGACCTCTCTCACCACTCCTATTCAATATAGTAATGGAAGTTCTAGCCAGAGCAATCAGGCAAGAAAAAGAAATAAAGGGTATTCAATAAGGAAAGGAGGAAGGCAAATTGTCTCTGTTTGCAGATGATATGATTGTATATTTAAGAAGACCCCATCATCTCAGCCCAAAATCTCCTGAAACTGATAAGCAACTTCAGCAAAGTCTCAGGATACTAAATCAATGTGCAAAAATCAGAAGCATTCCTATACACCAGTAACAGACTTAAAGAGAGCCAAATCAAGAATGAACTACCATTCACAACTGCTACAAAGGGAATAAAATACTTAGGAATACAACTAACCTCTTAGGATGTAAAGGATCTCTTCAAGGAGAAGTACAAACCACTGCTCCACAAAATAAGAGAGGACACAAACAGATGGAGAAACATTCCATGCTCAAGGTTAGGAAGAATCAATATCATGAAAATGACCATATTGCCCAAAGTAATTTACAGATTCAATGCTATCCCCATCAAGTTACTACTGACCTTCATCACAGAACTGTACAAAAACATGCTAAACTTCATATGGAGCCAAAAGAGAGCCCGCATAGCCAAGTCAATTCTAAGCAAAAAGAACAAAGCTGGAGGCATCACGCTACCTGACTTCAAACTATACTACAAGGCTACAGTAATCAAAACAGCATGGTACTGGTAACAAAACAGAGATATAGACCAAGGGAACAGAACAGAGGCCTCGGAGGCAACGCCACACATCTACAACCATCTGATCTTTGACAAACCTCACAAAAACAAGCCATGGGGAAAAGATTTCCTGTTTAATAAATCCTGTTGGGAAAACTGGCTAGCCATGTGCAGAAAGCAGAAACTGGACCCCTTCCTGACACCTTACACTAAAATTAACTCCAGATGGATTAAACACTTAAACATAAGACCTAACACCATAAAAACCCTAGAAGAAAATCTAGGCAAGACCATTCAGGACATAGGCATAGGCAAGGACTTGAGGACAAAAACACCAAAAGCATTGGCAACAAAAGCCAAAATAAACAAATGGGATCTAATCAAACTCCAGAGCTTCTGTACAGCAAAAGAAACAGTCATTAGAGTGAACTGGCAATCAACAGAATGAGAAAATTTTTGCAATCTACCCACCTGACAAAGGGCTAATATCCAGAACCTACAAAGAACTAAAACAGATTTACAAGGAAAAAACAAACAAGCCCATTCAAAAGTGGGCAAAGGACATGAACAGACACTTTACAAAAGAAGACATATATAAGGCCAACAAACATGAAAAAATGCTCATCATCACTGGTCATTAGAGAAATGTAAATCAAAACGACATTGAGATACCGTCTCACGCCAGTTACATGTTCTTCACATGTACCCCAAAACCTAAAATGCAATAAAATATATATAGAAAATAATATATATATATATATAAAACACAAAGTTATGTAATTACTATTACTTTCTTTGTTCAGTAGTGCTGTGATTTAATATGCACCTACCATCTCACTCACTACTATATGCCCACTTCCTTACTGATTATTATTTGCTAAAAACTCAACAAATAAAAAGAAAAACAAAAAAAAATCAACAAACTTGCTTTCAGTCCTCAAAAAGATTTATGGATAAGAAATTTATATATGAAATATCAGAAATATCACATATCATTTAGATCTGTATCTTTCCCAAAAAGAGATCTATACACTTATCTTTCATTTAAAGTGACAAAATATCTCCACTTTTGTACTGAATCAAGACTACCAGAATAATCCTGACTCACTATATAAAACAAAAAGTCCAAAAAATTAAAAAAACAAGTAGAAAATGTCAACTGCCAGAAGGAACTAAGACAACTCCAAGTAAAAGATACAGTGAAAGCAGTTAAAGAGCAAACAAATTACTAAAATGATGAAATGACTGAAGCAGTCAGGAATGCAATCTATATTAATACATTTCTTCAAAAAGTTAAAATACAAATGGAAGAAAGGGAAATACAGGAGAAATAACAAAGATCAAATAAAGCAACAGCACAATAAATGGAGGGAGAATGAGAGTGGGACAAGGTTGGGGAAGTAAAACAGGCTGGTAGGAAAAACCACCAAGCAGAATCTGTCAACACTGCTTAGAGTCCCAATTATACCTGGGGTAGTCAGTCAGAAGTACAGTGAAATGGGTGGAAAACAATCATCACAGAATTATATACATTTTAAAAGATGAATTTTGACTTATATTACTTAAACCTCAATAAAACTGAGAAGAGAGGAAGGAGAAAAGGCAAGAGAGAGAGAGGGCAAGATAGAGAGAGAGGAGGTGGGGGGGAAGGGGGAAAGGAAGAGAGAGAGCATTCACACAAACCAGCCAATCTGGCAGAAAAAGAGGATAGGATTAAAATATTGAAGAACAAAAGCATATGTCAAGAAGACTATGATCCTCTACAGATCTTGTCTTGTTTGGAATAATAATAGTATTATTAAGCAAAGACTTAATTAAGCTAAATAGGCATGTTAATGTTCTGGCATAACTACTAAAAGAATAAAAATACCAAGGTATATATTCCATATTAAGAGGGTAAAAAAATGAACAGGATAATGGGTTACAGTATAAATTCCCAAAAACAAGGGCCATGTTTTATTCTTGTTATTCTCAGTTATTAAGTTCAGAACGGCCACAAAACAAGAATTCAAACAATGTTTACTCAATGAATGAACGGTAGCAGGGGAGTCCAAGCAAGATCCTAAAATATATCCACTGCTAGTATACAGATATGTCTGATCTGTCTAGCAAATTAATTGAGTATGTAATCACTCTGTGGCTTCTTGGGAGAACATTTATGCTATAAGAGAGAAAAAATCAGGCAGATAAGCTGGACTCCTAAAAATCTAATTATGAGAAAAGGTAGTAGATTCTGAGGACAACATGGTATTTGCTACTCAATTTTGCCTTTCATGAACTCATGTCTAAGGCCTAACTGTAGGAGGAGAAAACAGAGTTATTTTGCCAGAAATGTATTTCATCATAAATATTCTTTGACTTACACTGACTGAGAATATCTTCTAAATCCATCATGTAGTCAGAGGATTGAAGATGAGAGCCAGAGATAAAATGCAGAATTTTGGGTCACCTTCTTTTACATTTTCTCTGATCGTTTGTCTACTTTTTAATTAAGGACAGTATATTTCAGTACATGGATACATGGGCTGTGTAGTCAAACAGGCTTCAATTTAACTTTAGCTCTTCTATTTGATAGTTGCATGATGTGGAATATTTTATTTATCCCCTTTAACCCTTGGGTTTTTCACTCATAAAATAGATATAACAATATTAACTATGCAAAGCTTGCTGTGAAGATTAAATGAGTTAATGCACATATAGTAGGTTGCACAAGATTTAGCTTATTAAAAAAACCAATAACTTTCATATAGATTACATCAAAATATAACACTTCTTGGAGTTTTTCATACTAAGTTGTCCTTTCTTTATAACATAGCCTAGTCTGAATTATTAGAATACTTTTCTAGCCAAGAGCTATATTTTTACTTACTGGCCTATATCATACTGTCCAGGACCAGGACTTGACTTTTTAGGTAACTCTTGTCTTCCTGAAGAGTTGCCAAAATGTATGCCTTTGTATTTCAAAGTTGCATTGGAAACACCCTAAAAAATAAAAAGTTTTCAAAAGTGAGGATGAAACAGTTTAAATAAGTCATGAAACAATGTTTAGCATTACCTAGGTCTAAATCTAAAGCAAGGATAGCCTCCTTAAGGGGGTTCCACTGGTCAATGCCAGAGTGTTCCTTGAAAGATCCCAGGCTAAGTTGTCATTGTTGGATCCCATCCCACTCGTGAGTCAGCTAGTTTTCCTGGAGAAGTATCTCTAACATTAGCATATTCTCAACTAATATGAACAGCTTTGCTCTTGACAGTACACCTAGTAATCTGAAGCCTTAAGAAAAATTAAAATTAGCTCCTCATCATTTAAAAAAGAGAGAAGGGATAACATTACTTAGGAAATAGAAATATCTATTAAAAATTACCTTAACTAAATAGATTGAAAAAATGCAAACAGCACCAACAGTCGTTAGATAACTTCACATTAATGTAACCTTTACACATAGTTAGAAATACTTAACAATAAATTAAACACTAGCCTAAGTTCATTTTACTGTTAATGTTTAAAGACAGGATCAGGAAAAATATTGCGAAGATGGCTCAATAGGAACAGCTGCAGAGTGCAGTTCCCAGTAAGAAAAACACAGAGTACTCACTGCATTTCCAAACAAGTTTTCGCTGCCCACAGACCAGGAGACTCTGGGGCCAAAAGCACCATGAGTTTTCAGCATGGCTAGTGCCATGGGTTGGCGCACAGAAACTCACACAAATCTGAGCAGCCATTTCAACTGGCACCTGGAATGCCTGTGAGACAGAGCCGCCCATTCAACTGAAAGGGAGGGGGCTGAGTCAGGAAGCCAAGCTATCTGGCTCAGCAGGTACCACCTTCACAAAACAAGCAATCTGAAATGCTCTGGATTGAGAGTTTCACAGCAAGCGCAGCTCGACCCGGGATGGTCCAGCTCAGTGGGGGGAAGGGCATCTGCTGCTACCAAGGCAGTCTGCCAATACCGAGGCAGTTCACACAGCAGCTGGGCAGAGCCTGCAGCAGCTCAGCAACACCTCTGCTGGCAGACTGTGACTAGACTACTCCATGAGGGGCAGGGCAACTCTCAAAAAAGGCAGCAGCATGTCAGGAACTTATAAATAAAGCCAACTTTCCCAGGTCACAGCACCTAGGAAAAGAGGCGGATATGAGTTCTGCTGCAGCAGACTTAAAGGTACCTGCCAAGCAGCTCTGCATGGAACAATGGAGTTCCCAGCACAGCACTCGAACTCCTAGAAGGGAAAGAATGTCTCCTCAAGCAGCTCCCCAACACCCATATACCCAAAGAGACACCTCATAAAGGAGGGCTCAGGCCAATATCTGGTGGGTACCCTTCTGGGACAAAGATAACAGAAGAAGAAACCAGCAGCAACCCTTACTGTTCTGCAGCCCCCGCAGGTGATCCCCAGGCAAGCAAGTCTGGAGTGGACCTCCAGCAGTCCTGCAGCAGAGAAGTCTGTTAGAAGAAACACTAAGAAACAGAAAGAAATAGCTTCAACATCAACAAAAAGGATGTCCACTCAGAGACCCCATCCAAAAATCACCAACTACAAAGACCACAGGTAGATAAAGCCACTAAGATGGGAAAAAAAAAAAACAGCACAAAAAGATGAAAACACCAAAAAGCAGAATGCCTCTCCTCCACCAAGGAATCACAAAATTTCTCACCAGCAAGGATCAAAGATGGATGGAGAATGAATCTGATGAACTGATAGAGGCTTCAGAAGGTGAGTAATAACAAACTTCTCAGAGCTCAAAGAACATGTACTAACCCAATGCAAAGAAACTAAGACTCTAGAAAAAGGTTAGATGAGATGCTAACTAGAATAAACAGCTTAGAGAAGAATATAAATGATTTGATGGAGCTGAGAAACAGAACACGAGAACTTCACAAAGCATACACAAGTTTCAAAAGCCAAACGGACCAAGAAAAAGAAAGGATATCAAGATCAACTCAATGAAATAAAATGAGATGGTAAGAATAGAGAAAAAAGAGTGAAAAGAAATTAACAAAATCTCTATGAAATATGGGATTATGGGAAAAGACCTGATCTACGTTTGATAGGTGTCCTGAATGCGACAGAGAGAGTAAATCCAAACTGGAAAACACTCTTCAGGATATTATCTAGGAGAACTCCCAAACCTAGCAAGGCAGGCCACCATACACATCCCGGAAACACAGAGAACACCACAAAGATATTCCTCAAGAAGAGTAACCGCAAGGCACATAATTGTCAGATTCACCAAGGTTGAAATGAAGGAAAAAATGCTAAGGGCAGCCAGAGAAAAAGATTGGGTTACCCACAAAGGGAAGCCTATCAGACTCACAGCAGATCTCTCCACAGAAATCCTACAAGCCAGAAGAGTGGGTGTCAATATTCAACATCCTTAATGAAAATAGCTTTCAACCTAGAATATCATATCCAGCCAAACTAAGCTTCATAAGTGAAGGAGAAATAAAATCCTTTACAGACAAGCAATTGCTGAGAGATTCTGTCACCACCAGGCCTGCCTTACAAGAGCTCCTGAAAGAAGCAGTGAACAAGGAAGCAGCCAGTCCAAAAATGTATCAAATGGTAAAGACCATTGACACAATGAAGAAAATGTGTCAACTAACAGATAAAACATCCAGCTAGTATCAAAATGGCAGTTTCAAATCCACAAATAACAATATTAACCTTAATTGTAAAGGGCTAAATGCCCCAATCAAAAGACACAGACTAGTAAATTGGATAAAAAGTCAAGAACCATGGGTGTGCTGTATTCAGGAAACCCATCTCATGTGCAAGGACACACATAGGCTCAAAATAAAGGGACGGAGGAAGATTTATCAAGCAAATGGAGAGCAAAAAAACAGGAGTTACAATTCTAGTCTCTGATAAAATGGACTTTAAACCAACAAAGATCAAGAGACAAAGAAGGGCATTACATAATGGTAAAAGGATCAATGCATCAAGAAGAGCTAATGATCCTAAATATATACACACCCAATACAGGAGCACCAAGGTACATAAAGCAAGTAGTTCTTAACGACCTACAAAGAGACTTGGACTCCCACACAATAATAGTGAGATACCTTAACACTCCACTGTCAACATTAGACAGATAAACAAGGCAGAAAATTAACAAGGATATCCAGGACTTGAACTCAGATCTGGACCAAGCAAACCTAATAGACATCTACAAAAATCTCCACCCCAAATCCACAGAATATACATTCTTCTCAGCATCACATTGCACCTACTCTAAAATTGATCATATAATTGGAAGTAAATCACTTCTCAGCAAATGCAAAGGAACAGAAATTATAACAAACAGTCTCTCAGACCACAGTGCAATAAATTAGAACTCAGAATTAAGAAACTAACTCAGAACTGCACAACTTCATGGAAACTGAACAACCTGCTCCTGAATGTTGACTGGATAAACAATGAAATGAAGGCAGAAATAAAGACGTTCTTTGAAACCAATGAGAATGAAGACATGATGTACCAGAATCTCTGGGACACATTTAGAGCAGTGTCTAGAGGGAAATTTATAGCAATAAATGCCCACCAGAGAAGAGGGGAAAGATCTAAAATCGACAACCTATTGTAAAAACTGAGAGAGCTAGAGGAGCTACATGAAAATAAAAAAAATAAAGAAAAACTCAAAAACTAGCAGAAGACACGAAATAACTAAGATCAGAGCAGAACTGAAGGGTATAGAGACACAAAAACCCTTCAAAAAAATCTGTAAATCCAGGAGCTGGTTTTTTTAAAAGATCAACAAAATAGACCGCTTGCCAAATTAATAAAAAAGAAAAGGGAGAAGAATCAAATAGATGCAATAAAAAAACAAAAAAGGGGATATCACCACCAATTCCACAGAAATACAAACTACCATCAGAGATTACTACAAACAACTCTATGCACATAAGCCAGTAAACCTGGAAGAAATGGATACATTCCTGGACACATACACCCTCACAAGCCTAAACCAGTAAGAAGTTGAAACTTTGAACAGACCAATAACAAGGGCTGAAGCTGAGGCAGCAATTAATAGCCTACCAACCAAAAAAAGCCCAGGTCCAGATGAGTTCACAGCTGAATTCTATCAGATGTATAAAGAGGAGCTGGTACTCTGAAACTATTCCAAAAAATCCAAAAAGAGGGAATCCTTACCAAATCATTTTATGAGGCCAACATCATCCTGATACCAAAACCCAGCAGAGACTCAACAAAAGAATAAAACTTCAGGCCAATATCCATGATGAACATTAATGCAAAAATCCTCAATAAAAGACTAGCAAACAGATTGCAACAGCACATCAAAAAGCTTCCAGTAGGCTTCATCCCAGGGATACAAGACTGGTTCAACATACGTAAGTGTATAAACATAATCCACCACATAAACAGAACCAAAGACAAAAACTAAATGATTATCTCAAGAGATGCAGAGAAGTCCTTCGACAAAATTGAACAGTCCTTTATGCCAAAAGCTCTCAATAAACCAGGTTTCAAAGGAACATATCTCAAAATAATAAAAGCTATTTATGACAAACCTACAGTCAATATCATACTGAATGGGCAAAAACTGGAAGCATTCCCTTTGAAATCTGGCACTAGACAAGGATGCCCTCTCTCACCACTCCTATTCAATATAGTATTGGAATTTCTAGCCAGAGCAATTAGGCAAGAAAAAAAAAAATAAAGAGTATTCAATTAGGAAAGGAGGAATTCAAACTGTCTCTATTTACAGATGACATGACTGTATATTTGGAAGACCCTATCATCTAAGCCCAAAATCTCCTGAAACTGATAAGCAACTTCAGCAAAGTCTCAGGATTCTAAATCAATGTGCAGAAATCACAAGCATTTCTTTACATCAATAACAGACTAACAGAGAGCCAAAACATGAGTGAACTCCCATTCACAATTGCTACAAAGAGAATAAAATACCTAGGAATACAACTAACCTCTTAGGATGTAAAGGACCTCTTCAAGGAGAACTACAAACC